TCAATGTTTCTCCCTCACGCCCTTTCTCAAGTCAACAAATATGTCCTTGGGTGAGGATTATATAAATAAATGGGAAAATTATAGCTAGATGCTCAGATATGCACAGATCACTTGAAATATGCTCAAAGCTCGAGAATGACTGTTTCCTTTGGGAGACAGAAGAAGGACACTTCCTTTTTGTCCTTTAAAATTTGTTAATTTTGTATATACATTCAAAATATTTTTAATGTTAAAAATCGAAACAATGTGGAAAGTGGACAAACATTTTTAAGACCGTAGAGTATATCAAAGTTATCAGTTGTGAACAAGATCTTCCGTATTTAACCAACTTGCTTTTGGACAAATCTCTTAAGAACTTTCAAATTGTGAAAAACTTGCCAAAGAATTAGAACATAATTGGTTGAAAATGAATTAGAAATGAAATAACCCAACCAAATGAAACTGATAAAAAGTATATGACAAGTTTTTCAAATTTTTAGAAGTCATTCTCACACTCATGAAAATAAGCACCTCTTAAAAAAATTTCAGTAAACAAAGATGCATGATAATCAGTTGGCAATATTTCCCCTGGAGTAGATACACTAAAAAACAAACAAACAAACAAAAAACAGTGAGTAAAAAATAATGAGTTTTCACCAATCCATCCTTTGACAACTTTGTTTTCAGCCACTTACCTGCAACTCCTAAAGGGCTAGAGGATAGTAATGAAAGAACAGAGAAGAGTTAGTTAAAAGAATGTCCCAGAGACGACACTTGACAAGGCCAGTCTCTAAAAATACAAATTGCTTCATTACTAATTTCCTATTAAATGTGGCTGCCCAGGTTCCCGGTCCTGTTACCTTTGGCATGCTTCCCCCTGCCCAGGAAATGACTGTGATTGGCTTTTAGTGAAGGAATTTTGGGTGGAATTTGAAAACCCTGAAGTATAATGGGGTCCTTGTTAAGGACAGGGGTAAAACGAGGTAATAGAATTCTTATTTCTGCCAGAAAGAAGGGGGCCTGTTGGTGCCAGAGCTGTTTATCTAGAGCCAGCGCTCCAAGAGCGGTCGCTGAAGAGGCAAGGACAGGCTGTTTTGTTCTTTTAAACTGGCCAAATACCCAGACCATTCTTGGTTTTTGACGTCTGTATGGCCCCAGTGGGCAGGACAGGCCTCTGAGATGTGGCTGCAGGCAGTGGATGGGGTCAGAATGCTTTAGCCTCCATCCACCTGGTGCTGGCCTTCCTGCCAGGAGGCATTTGGATGTGTTCTCATTACCTGCAACAGACCAGGTTGTATCTCCTGTTTCCTGGCTGCGGGGAGAGAGCAATGCTTTGTCTTTTCTCTGTTGCCCAATGGGGTGTGTGAAAACACAGGTACCCCTTGTAAGCTGGGGTTACCACCCTAAAGTGTCAGAGACTGGATCTGGACCTCGGGGCCTGGCTTGGCATCTGGCCCCTGGCCAGCCAAGCCAGGCCCTGGGGCAGTTTTGCATCCGGAGAGCACAAGCCCACTTGTATCACTGGCCCAGCCGCGCGGAGGCCTGACTCAGGTCTGAGTTAACAGTGGGCCAGACTTTCACTGCTGCCCGTGTTGGCTCCCCATCGTACTACCTGGCTAACTGAGCTAAGCTGAGCATGTATTTTTCCTACCACCTGTTAGCAAGAATTTCTAATCTATACCTGGGGTTAAATACTATGAGGAACCCAATCCCCAAGAGCACATCTCGAAGCAGGATGTATATCCAGCCAGTTTGCTAAGTCTCCCTATTCTGCCCCTTTTAGGGGTGTGGAAGGGAGCAGATCTCCTTGCAAGCATCTCCTGCTCAGTAGTTCTGGAAGGAACATCCCTGACCTTTGTTCTCAAGTCGGCTGATTTTTCCTTTCTGGATCAGAGCCTGGAAAGAGGGAAGGCGTACAGAACTCCATGCCTATCTGTTGAGATTTTGTACTTTGACACTTTGAAATACCCATTCCTCCCAAATTATTTCAGTCTCATCAGGTGATAAGTAAACATAGTAATGAAATGTCAAGGCTTCTGAAAAGTTTTTATTTTATGCCAGTTTCTTCCACTGCTATTGCAGTCTAATTAAAACTCCCAGGACTTTCAGTAAAGGCTGGGGAGAACAGCAGTTCCCGCAGGGACTTTCTGTGGAAAACAGGCCCGAAGTCAGTTCGGGGCGGGGGGCTGTGGAAATAATGAATTGTGTGTGGGGGGCGTGCACCAATCACCTGGTGAGAACTAATTTGGAGAATTGGGCTGAAGGTGAGATTTGCTGTCTAAGGAGACACCATGAATACTGTGCATGGCAGGGGTACCCTCTCCCCAACTTTCGGCCAGTGTTCTCCACGTGCTTGGTTCAAGAAAGGATCGGCAAAAGTGTTCAGTGATGGTAAGCACTTGACTGCTTCAAAGAGAAATCTGATATGATATGCATATGTTATAACCCAACATTTTATTTCCAGGAATCTTACTGAGAGAGAATTGGTAAATAAACTCTAGCATATTCACTAATATGCAAAGGAAGCAAATACACACACACACGCACACACACGCACGCACGCACCCTCCCCACTAGTGCCATGTAAATATAAAATAGGGCCTATTGAGGGAAGGCCTCAGAGCACAGACAGTGCCCTGAGCACCCATTACCCTACAGAGAAGTGGGCTTAAGCCGGGCACAGCTGCACCAGACCCGCCACAAAAAGAGTTGCAGCAAAAGGGGCCCCTACGCTTAACAGAAAGAAACAAGGAACATGGTGACAATATAATAACAGAACTATTGGGCTGCGTAAATACTCATGTTGAACCTTGTTAGAAAGACGGAGTTTTCAGAGCTCAGCTGGTATCAGCCCATCCTGTTCAGCCAACTCAGGTCTGCTAAGTAGCTCCTTCCTGCGCTATTGAGAGAGGAGCTGTCCAGATTAACACAATTACATGTTATGTTGCCATTATGAAAAATGAAGCACGTGTGTGTGCATATAAACAGAAAGTGGAAAGATACACACCGAATCCCTGGCGGGGCTCTCCTCAGGGTAGAACTGAAAAAGCACAGAGAAAGACTCTGCTTTTCTGTAATGGAGTTCTGTATAGCTTAAATTTGCTACCCTGAGCACTTATTGTAACAACAAAAAGATTGAGTAAGGATGAATAAAAGTGTAAAGAATGTTTTAAGTGGTGAAGTGCAGTTTTCGGTTATTTTGTGCATGTTTTTCTAAGCCTGAGGTAACTTTTCATTATTCTCCTTGTTTCCTTTGGAAGCATTCTTTTTAAAAAATTTTTTTAAATTATTTTTTATTGTTTTCTATCACAATTTATCCCCCATACCTTCTTCTACCTGCACCTTCTCCCCACAATCACCACATTGTTGTTCGTGTCCATGAGTTCTTTCTCTTTTTTTGTTTTCTTTAATCCTCCCCTGAGGATGTTACTTGATTTGAAAGAGAGAGAAGAAGAGAGGGAAACATCTGTCAGTTGCCTCCTGTACATGCCCCACCTGGAGATTGAAACTGCAACCTAGGTATGTGCCCTGATCGGGAATGGAACCCACAACCCTATGGTGTACGGGACGACATTCCAACCAACCGAGCCACCTGACCAGGGCTTGATCAATTTAGATTCCCACAGACACCTAAAATATGTTTCAGCAACATAACTTTAGAGCAAATATTTCAGTGATCCTCAAAAGAATATAATCAAAATATTCAGGGGTCTTGGCTCCTGATCTTGTCACTTAGGGCACATTTAACACAAATATGTCACGTCGCTGGAAAATTGGGCACTGCTTTGACTTGTTGTGATGGGGCTTGACTTGTGCCCCAAGCCTGAGTCTCCAGATTACGAATCCCAGACCGCTGGGAGGAGAATGGCTGCTCTGTTCTACCTGCCCTGCTCACCATGGCAGGGGTAACCCAATGCCTGTCCTTCCTTACCAAGGCCAGTTCAGCTCCTGCTTCGAGTCTGTGTGAGAAAATACAGTGCTGACTATATATATAAGGTGATTTGGAAAATGCTGAATTGCTTCATCACTAGAATGTTTGGGGGACAGACAATGGGTAAGGGGATTGACTGTGGAAGTTGAGGCGGGGGCAGGTGAGAGCCACAGGGAAAAAAGCTGGACAGCTGTAACCGAATTAAAAAAAAAGGGAAGGAGGAAACAAAGAAGACTTGTCAGACAAAGACAAACTGAGTGAATTCATCGCCAGCAGACTTGACCTGCAAAAAATGTCCAAAACTCCATAAGAAAGGAGGAATATTGAAGAATAAATTACTAAAGTTAAAATAAAATCATTTTTATCTTAACTGAAAAAGTAAAATTTTTATCAATCTTTTAAAAATTTCTTTAAAAAACAGGCTTTAATTCCAAAGTATCCTGATCCAAAAAAGAGACTGTCTCTGGTGGAGTATTTTACCACAGCTGAGCAGCTCTTCCTCAAAAGAAAGTTGTCCTGTAGTGCCCTGGAAGCCCAACCTCAAAAGCAGGCTGGACTAGCGGGCCAGGGACCCCAGTCATGGAGGAAGCAGAGGGCCCAGAGGTGGGGGCACGGAGGTGGCCAAGCATGGATGCTTATTTTTTATCAAGCATGGATGCTTATTTTTTATCTAGAGTCCTCTGTCCTCCAGAGTGCTGTGACCCCACAGAGGTACCTGTGTAAGCTGTTCTGGAGTCTTCTGCATTCTCAGTGTGGAATTCCTGAAGGTCGTTGAGAGCAAGGATGGAAGAAGAAGAGACACTGAGTCTGGGGCAGGGAGGCAGAGTGGTTGGGAGAAAAGAAAGGGGCACTACTAGTAGTGAATTGGACCCCCCCAGAAGAGATGCTAAAGTCCTAACCTCTGGCACCTGCGAATGTGGCCATATTTGGAAAAAGGGGCCTTGCAGATATAATCGGGTTAAGATGAGGTTAGTGGGGTGGACTCTTTGCTTGACATGACTGTGTCCATATAGGAAGAGGAGAAGAAACACAGAAGGACAGGGAGAGGAGTATGTGAAGACATGGGCAGAGAAGGCCGTGTGACAGTGGAGTGAAGCTGCCACAAGCCAAGGAAGCGCGGGCTGCAGGAAGCAGGAAGAGGCAAGGAAGGATCCTCTCCTAGAGCCTTTGACTGGAGTGTGGCTCTGACAACACCTTGATTTCAGACTTCTAGCCCCCAGAACTGAGAGAGAACACATTTTTATTGTTTTAAGCCACCTAGTTTGTGGTATTTTGTTATGGCAGCCCTAACAAAATAATACAGGCACTATGAAGAAAAAGAAGATGATACCAAAACTCAGTTTCATCTCTTTTCTTATTTGGGTTACAACTGGCTTTGCTGTAACCCGGGCTTCTGATTGATGCAGTTAAAAAACCACAGTCAAATGAACGTTAACTCTTCAGAGGTGCACCTGGACCCTGTAACCATCTCAGAGAATGCTTTCACCAAAATAATTGTTTTAGCATTGTTCTCTCATGTGACTACTGAGACATACCAAGGAAACAGTGAACAGTACTCCTGAGTTCAAGCTTTCAAACACCCAAGTCAGTGTGAGGAACATTGCACCTCCGCGGAGGTAGGTTGGCACCTTTCAGTTTGGGATTCGAGAATGTAATGCATTGTTGACTCAACATGTTTATTTGTAAGCTATAAGCAAACATGGAATCTTCTCTCTCTACTGTGATTCTTTTCATTGTTGTATCAAAAGGGACTCTTACTTCAGAAACAATGACTAAGCAAGAGGAAACCACTGTAGGTTTGGTGCCAGGCTGCCCCATGGGTATTTGCTCACCTCAGAATTCATCTGCAAAGAAGCGAAAGCCAGAGCATTTTAACTCATCAGAAGGGGCTTATGTGTTTACCACAGCACACCTCAAGTTGAGACCCTTTGAAGGGACCTGTTTGTGTGGGAAAGAGTTGCCCAAACACCTGGAGAAGAACACCTGGGGTGAGTATAATGCGTTTCTAGCCCCGTCTTCCGGGTTTGTGACAATGAGGTCAGATGTGGTGGCGGTTATAGAGATATGGTGGGTACAGGCCGTCATAATGCCACTGGCGCCATTGTTCAATAGCCTCCCGGCTTCTCTCTTGCTGTTCTGGAGAGGAGGCAGAAAACCGTGTTAGGATGGAGAGGACTCTGACCTGAAGAGAGCCACCACGCTGCCTTGGCAGCTGTCCACCCAACTGCCCACTCTGCGGTGCCATGAACCAACTGTTCCTTTGTACATCAGTGGCAGACATTGAACGCTGGAGCTGACGGGACCTGAGAGAACACAGAGTCCAAAGGTCTTATTGTAAGAATCAGGTCCAGACAGGGGAGAGTCAGGGCGCCGGCTGCCAAGAGAGCGGAGAGCCGGCTCTGGCGTCCCAGTTCAGCGCCCCTTCCCTACACCCCAGCACAGGGACTGGCCCAGAGTTGTAATACCTAAGACAGAAAATACCAAAGTAACAAAATAGTAATAAAAATAGACTGTAAGCTGTACTGTGGAAAAAATCATGGAAAGAAATAATTGTCCACTTCAAGTGATGGGATTGTGAGTAATTGTTTTCTCTACCGTGTCCTGTGTTTTCTGGGTTTTAAAAATAATGTTTTTAAAACTAATTGGAAAAAGGGATGGAAGGAAGCAAGTGTGGGGGAAATCTTGACAATTGTTAATTCTGGGTGTTGTTATGTGGAGGTTCATTATCCTGTATAGTTATTTATATATATTTGAAATTTTTCATAGCAAAAGGTTAAAAAGATCAGAAGGAAGTTTTTAATGTGTAAGAAAGTCCTCATTTTCTGTGCAGCTCCTCAAAAAGTTAAACAGAATTATCATGTGAGCCAACAGTTCCAATCTTAGGACTATACATAAAAGAACTGAAAATAGGACCCAATGAGTGGATTAACAAAATGTGAGATATACGTATACATGTATGTATGCACGTATTATTCAGCAATAAATAGGGATTACCTTCTGAGACATGCTACAACAGTAATGAACCTTGAAACACACTAAGTGAAATACACTAGACACAAAAAAATCATATTGTGAAATATGTCTACTTCTATGAAATATCTAGAATAGGCAAATTCATAGAAACAGAAAATATATTAGAATGGGCTGTGCAGAATGGACAGTTATTGCATAATTGGGTGCAGAGTTTCTGTTTGAGGTGATGAAATGTTTTGGAAATAGTGACGGTTGCACAACATTGTAAAGGCACTAAATGCCACTGAATTATACATGTAAAATTAGTTAAGGTGGAAAATGTATGCTATATATATTTTATCACAATTTTTAAAGTATTTTTGAAAAATGTTGCCGGGTGGGAAGTCCTAACAGAAGAAGATAAGATTAAGGATCAAAAAGCCTGTGAAGCTGACTTTAGTGCTAGTGAAATGCATCCTCTGTGCAGTGAGCTAACAGCATGGCCTGGTGCCTTTGCAGTGTGGAGAAAAGGCACCTTTGCACATGTGAGAGCCAGATGACCTCAATAGAAAGGGCTCCTTGTCACCACTGGGTGGTCAGGCGACGTGGCAGCTAGGAACGTTTCCATCCTATGGGAGCTTCGAGTTGGTGCTACCCTTGGTGCTGAAAACCCCCTTGGAGACTTGGTACTCCGAAGACAGACAGCTCACAGAGTTGAGCCCAGTCTGGAGCTTTGGGTTTTAGCGGTTGGCTGGTCAGACCTTCCTCAGGCTGGGCAGACCAGCTGCTCTTTGCCAATCTTGAGAGCATGATTCTTCCCCTAGGCTATGCCAGACTCTTCTTAGGCCATTTTACTTAGAGAAAAGGAAGGCCTTCCAGGTAAAGACCAGAGGCCCTGACCCTTGGTTTTTGTGTCAGGGCCCACTTGTGGCCAGGCATCCTTTGTTATGCAGCCAGGCCGAGGATGGCTTGGTTTAGGCTTGTGGCTTTGCAGGTGGAAGCAGACATATGCTGCCTCTTAGGCCTTAGAAGTGGGAGCTCAGCACACTGTTTATCCTGGAGCTTTTGGAGGCAGGTCTCAGTTATTTTTGCCCTGGGAAGCTGGTGGTTTTAAGCAGAGTTGCAATGAGGAGCCGTGGCAGAGCTGAGTGAGGCTCTAATCTCTCCTGTCCACCTTCCCCAAGCCAGGACCAGTGTGCTGGGTAGGTTGATAGAGAAGTCTTGGAGGGGATTTTCAGGTCTCCAGGAAGGCAGGCCACTCTTGTCCAGAAATCTCCCTCCAGACCACCTGTCTAAAATTCCTCCAGTAGAAATCTAAGTCCTTCTGGTTGCCTGTGCTAATCCCTCAACATTTGTTTTTATGAAGCAAGAACCTCAGCGAGAGGAGGAACATCCCACTGCTCTCAATTATTCTGTGAATTGATTACATTGTCGTATAAAGACAGCTGAAACCCGAGTCCTGATGGCAGATGTGGGCAGCTGGGAGTGAAGGCCTTGGGAAGAGCTCTGAGCACTGCCCTTGGACGCAGGTTTCCGGCCACCTGGCCACAGGGCATCAGTGTTCTTCGGCAGAAGCCAGGAAAGAGGAGTAAAATCAGATTGAGTTTCACCTTTGTCAAAATTTGTCCTTGGGTTGCTGGGCCTGATCCACCTCTCTGCCTCCTTCCTGAAGCTCTGGAAAGACCCCGCTCTGGTCCCCCAGTTTTAACCCCCTTATTTCATCCTTACTCGCCAGTTTCTGCATCAAAGATCTCCAGGACCTCTACACATCCGATCATTCTTCATTTACAAGAACATGAACTTTGCTGGCTTAGTTCGGATCCCTTACTAGCTATGTCACCTTGGGAGTTCATGTTTCCTGTCTGAGGGTGGGTTTTGAAACTGTAAAATGGAATTTCTAAGACCTCAGAGGCTGATTGTAAGGGTTGGGTGGTTCAGTCCCCTGCCCGAGGGAACAAGTGCTCACCAGTGATAACAGCTGTCCTCACTACAGTCCCCGAAGGCCTGTGCCCTGCCCTGCAGTGTCTTCGTCTTTGTGAGCGAGGCCTGAGGTCCTTAACTTTGTCTCCTCTGGCTTTGTTGGAGGACCTGTCATCCCTGAGGTGTCTAACCTCTCATCCTAATTTCATCATGAAACAAAAAAAACAGTGAATATTTTCCACCCATATGCTAGCGATTTGGACTTGAAGCAGTTAAAAAGACACAAAATAAAATGCTGTTATTAATACTATCAGTTAAAAAAAAAGATGCTGAAGGAATTTTGGAGGCCACATTCTCGTTTTTAAAATGCCTCTCCCCATGCTGTCCACCAAAGTAAACAAATCTCCGAAAGAAATGTTCGCCTCTGAGCAGCAACAGCCTGGGTTGTTCCCAGCAGACTTTGCTTTGTCAGGAGGCAAGCCCAACGTCTGCCACAGGGCTCAGCCAGGAGCCACTGCAGAGCAACGGGCATGGCCTGCAGCCCTCATGTATCTGGTGATCACATCCTTTCATTACGAGGTGCCCTGAGAGGGTGTTACCTCCCAAATCCTCCAGAGTGAACAAGCCAGGAAGTGACAACTTCAGAACTGAAATCGCTGACTTTCTCTAACAAAGGTTACCTAAACTGGGGCCTATGTCTAAGTTCATATGCATCCAGGAGCTTGCCCAGGAGCACCTCAGCCTTGAAAGACCAAGAAAAGAAATGTGTGCGCACACGCACTCACACACACAGGCTTGCTGGCCTGATCCCTATTAAATGTTCCTATGGACTTTTGCTTGGATGACACTTGAAGGCACCTAGAAGATCCAAAATCAAATTCAACCTGGTGGAAGGCTGTATGGTTCAAAGACAGAGCCTCACTTTACGCCTGCCCACGTCCACACCCAGCTGCCTCCAATGAGGACTTGATTAAATCAGCATTCCTGGGGGAGGCAGGAGCCCGGTGATGTGCTGAATGAGATGTGCTGATTGCATGGTGAGACACACTGAAGCAAAGACACTTAGCAGGGAAGATACTAATAGCAACTGGGTAAGGGCACAAGCAAACCATGCAAATGCTGGATGCTGTGGGCATGTTGGAGCCTTCATATTGCCCATAGATGTCGGTGTTAGATGTGGGGAAGGGCCCAAGGCAGGGCACCAGTGACCAGTGCTTTCTGAGTTTTCCTGGTTTGCTTCCACCCGTCAGATAAGATGCTGAGTATAGTGAACAGGTAAACGAAGGCCTTGGTTTTCCAGGATGAGTAGTTCCTAGAGCCATTACACTGATGTGAATCCAAGACACTTGAAACTGTGTTTGGAATCCTTCCCACCCCACTCTACCAGTGCTAAGCCACTAGCGTTGGCGCTAAGACAGAGGACACCAGCCACACAGCGATACCCACGTAGGGGAAAATGCAGCCATCCCCCAACGCCCCCAGCCCCACAGCCCCTGAGCTCATGGTAACCAAGGGGTACTATTCTTTTCCATCCCTTTTCAAGTCCAATGGCCAATTTATGACTTTCTCCCTTAAACTCCCATAGACACGAGAGTAGAGCTTCCCTTTCTCCTCTAATTAAAACTTAGGCAGAAGAAGTAGAGGCAACTCATGATTTTCCCACAAAGCCCCACTCCCCAGAGAGGCTGGCTGAAGAGCTCTTACCGTCATTTTGCTCCTCCGCAAAGTTCTCAAACTCGTTTCGTTGTTCCTCGTGATATTCTCTTCGTAGCTCGTCAGCCCGCAGTTTCTGCCTGTTCTCCGCTGTGAAAAGGCAAGAGGTGACAGTTGCCCCCAAGAATAAGGGGATCTGCACATATTTAAGGGAACACCAGTCATTTTGCCTAAGAAATTTAATCTGGTTGGGAAGGGGTTTTTTGTTTTGTTCTTTTTGTGAAGGCTTCACTGAAATGGTTTACTTCTGGAATAGACTTTCAAACTTGAAGGATCTAGGAGGTCTTCCCAGCCAACACCTCTTTGTACAAATGAGAGGACTGAGACCCCAAAATATGAAGCAATTTAGCTTCACTCATAAAACAAGTGGTATATCCAGGTATACTAGGCCACTTAGAAACTAGAAGTCTAATGATCAGAAATAAATGATAAGAGGGAGTCGTCCAGCTTAAAGTTCATTTCACATTAACTAATACCTTCAAGTCCATTCAACATCTTTGAGCACCTCTCATGGCCAGAATGTATGATAAGCACTGGGATTAAAGAAGCAAAGAAGAGAGATTCTCTCTCTACTAAGAGGCATTATGGTTGCTGTGATAGAAATCTATACAGCAATGGCCTGTGGTAGGGGATCTAAGATGATCCCCGATACTCACACCCCTAGGTATGGTAATCCTCTCCCCTCATGTGTTTCTGGCTTAGTGACTTGCTGCTCATGGACAGAATATGGCAAAAGTGATGGAATGTGACTACAAACAAGACTGTGGCTTTTGTCTTGAGTGGGTCGGTGTCTCTCTTGGTTTTGCTCTCACTCAGAGAAGCCAGCTGCCATGTTGTAAGCTATCTTATGAAGAAGAGGCTCACTCATGGCAAGAAAGTGGCGTACTTGGCCAGTAGCAAGGACCGAGGCTTGCCAACAGCAATATGACTGAGCATGAAAATGAATCTTGTTTTCAGATGACTGCAGCCTATTGAGAAACCCTGAGCCAGAGGCTACCAGTTAATTAGACCTAGATTTCTGACCCTAGCAAATGTGAAACAATAAATGTTTGTTGTTTTAAGCTGTTAAATTTGGGGGGGGGGTAATTTGTTTAAACTGCTAGGTTGGGGATTGGTTGTTATACAGCAATAGAGAGCTAGTGCAGGATATGGGGCAGTCAGGCAACCTTCCTGATGAAAATACTAACCGTAGAGATCCCTTAATTTGTAAGGCAGTTATTCCAGTAGAGTTGGCTGTAAACTTTTAAATGAGGAATCTGAGTTCCATATTATAAAATTGGAGGTACACTTTTAGGCTGAAAGAAATACCCCCAGTGAAAACTGGGACTGTCTGAGAACACATAAATATGGCAACCATTCTTTGGTGGGTGAAAAATGAAACTCGCCAATAATACCTTGAACCCCAAAGGGAATCCCACCTGAACGACGATATCCCACCTCATCACAGGTACAGCTGTTGTTCACCTGCTCTAATTTAGCCCGGAAAAAAAAACTTTCTACATTTTAGATTTTTAGGTGTAAAATAAATTAGTTTTCAAGTTCATCCATTCCTGCCCTCAAATCTTCACATCGACCTCTTTGGTGCAAGGACTATGGTTGTCCGGTGGAAATCATTTAAAGCACACGCACATATTTCAAGATATTTCTTTTGTCTGGGCTTCAACTGGAAAAATCCATGACATCAGGAAGACCACGTCTGGTGCAGGAGGAACCGGCCCCTGGGTATGCCTCCACCCTCCCAGGATGTAAGGTATGATTCCCATCACATCAAAGCAGGGAGACTGAGTTCCTGTTGCCCCCACCAGGTTAGATGTGCAAGATGAGGTGGAGAGTTTATGATGGAAGCAGAAGACTGAGGAAAGCCACTGGATTTTCTGTTCCACCCCACAGCATAAGCGTGCTGGGAGAAACAAGTAGTATTTCTTTGCGAAACGATAATACCATGAACCATCTCAAATTCTTCTGGCAAGTAAGTAAATTGATTAAATGAGCAAAGAATAAGTAAATTGATTAACTACTAGTTATTCATATTACGTTCATATTGTTTAATTTAACCCAAATGAAAATCAAACTATCTGAATTGGTCTCAGGGCAAGTTCTTTAGGTAAATCCCATGCTTTTCGCACACTTGCCCCTTCACCTGCATGATGAGCTGCGGTCATCTTTAGTCCAACAGAAGGGACTGGCGTTCCAGCCCTTCCCCATGCCTCGCCTCTTGCCCCACATTCACACACTTCTTAGGAGGGGATTCAGACTCGGAGAGGTGCAGAGATTTAATTAAGGTCACGCAGCTGATCAAGGCAGAGCTGGGACTGGGGCCAGAGCTCCAGGCACCCACACTCCACCGCTGGACAGAACACACTGTGCACAGCAGAACCCCCCTTACAACCCACCACAAGCCCCAGTGATGCACCAGATACCAGAAAGCTGCCTGGGGGTAGGGGGGCAGGGAAAGAGGGCAGGGCAGGGAGTTTAGACTTTAAGCAGGTGCTCCATGAGCCACTGCCAATTCCTAAATAAGCATTACTCCAGAAAAGCAACAATCTTCCCAAATTGCCTTTTTGGAGGTGCCACAAACTGTCCCTATGACTTAGCAATGAATAAAAACAACTTAAATTCTTGGGACCAGATGCTATCCTTACGCCATGCATTGTGCACATCTCTTCTCAAAAGCAGGCATTTCGTTGGAGTAGTTCCTCCTTCCCCCCTAAAGCAATCTGCACCTTTCCCCAGAAACTTAGAGATGTTAGATGGCTGTTTCCTCCTTTCAAATTCAGGTTTATCACTTACCTTTTACTCAACCTGAGACATAATTGGTCATTGATCTCCTGCTCATCCATACAAATTCACCAGGTGACAAGAGATGCACTCAGGTACATCCTCGGTGTTCTCCAAGCTGTCCTGGGCCCCCCCACCCTGAGGTTCTATTTCAGGTGAGAAACCTCTGCCTTAGTCATGCACCTCTTTGTCAGCTCAGTTTCCAAGGATGGAAACTATTTGCCTCTAAAATTCATGCCTGTTCCCCACTGGACGTCTGCCAAAAAATTGCTTCTCAGGTTTCTATCAAGAACTGCCCAACCTCTATCAGTCTTTTCGGTGTTTCTTGACATTTGCTAACTTTTAAATCCCAAATTGTGTGAGGCCTGGAAATTTTCCCAGTGTGGTTAATATTTATCCATTTTTTAAAAGGAATTTTATCTCCCAGTATTTTCTGCTCTTTTCTTCCCCATCATTTGAAAACAGTCCTGTTATTTTTATGGAATAAGTTACCTTACTGAGTGTGCTGAGCAATACAAAGAGTTTATTCAGACACACGCGCAACTAATGAATCAAGCCATAGACTCGGAGACAGTCAGCACTCAGAGTCCTTGGAAGAATCTAGTTCAAGGGCAGAAAACTCAAAAGCCTTTGAGGATTGTCAGGCCATGGATATGAGGGTCCCTGCTAGGAAGGTGACACCAGGAATCCTTCAGGCTGAGAAGACTGGCCTCTGAGCCCAAAGGCCTCCCAAAAGCATTAAGAACAAGTGTGCTGACTGAACATCACGCTTTCAGGGGCTTTTAAATAAGGGAACTTGGGTCCAGGGAGAGGAACTGGCCAAGGCCACTTAGCAGAAAGCCGTCACCAAACCCACAATCCCAGCTCCGAGTCCCATTTTGTCCCATCCCTGCTCACAATGCTATTGCTCTTGCTCATAAGGGCTCACTTTGCAATACTCCAAAAAGCACACACTGAGATACTGAGATACTGTGTTCCCAGAACATAGATTTTCTCTTTTATGTTTTTAACTTTCTGAAACCAGGATGTGTCTGATCACTGTGAAGCACATGTGGCACTGTCCCTTTTGGTTCCTTACCCTGACAGCGCAGTCAGTCAAAAAGATGTGACCTGCCATTAAGGAAATATGGGATCTCTAATTAAGAGCTGCAGTCTCTGCGATGTCCAAGGACCTTGATTGAGCCCTCAGTCCCTTGCCGTGGTCCCCACAGTCCAGTTGACTGGGAGAGAGAAAGGACCGGGGGGACCAGCAGAAGGCAGGTCGCCTGCATCCTTACCATTGACCTCATCTCGGGATTTGAGGGACCGCTTGCCACGCTTCTTGAGGAAATTCGAGGCATCTGATTCCTGCATGAAAATCTTCTGTTCCACTCCTGAAACCCGAAAGGGCCAGTCATAACCAGCACAGGCCCACCGGGGCTGCCGCGGGGTCCGGCCCCGCTGCCCGCACCACGGCGCGGTCCCCGCACTCACCTTCCTGGGCCTCTTGCCTGGCCACCTGCCTGGTGCCCACTGACATGCCTGTGCCCTCCTGCAGCACTGTGGACAAGAGCACAGAGTGAGGACTGCAGCACACCCAAGGGACCCTCACCCCAGCCAGGCCAGGCCAGTCCTTCCCAGGCTCTGCAACTTGCCAGGCCCTGGTATGGTTCCTGGGTCCCACACATACCAGCTCAGGGCTGATCTCCCCAGGAAACCACCAGGCAAGCTGTTTTCTCTGTGTTGTATTGTGTTACACACACACACACACACACACACACACACACACACACACACACTCCAAGCACAGCCGTTTTATAGATAAGCACCCCCCTTTGTCTCTGGACCAGCCACCTGAGCAGCCTCACCTAACACCTGTCCATCCCAGAGCCTCCCCATACTCACTGGACAGAAGCATCGCAGCCGAGAAACAGGAGACAAGGAGCAGCTGTCTCCAGGCCATCTTTAGAGAGGATGAGGCTCTGTCTGAGAACCACAGGGCACACAGAGAGGGCTCTGCAGACCCTGAGGCCTCTGGGTCCTCACTGCTGTGTCGGACAGGCCAGGAGAGAGGGAGGAGACATTCAGGAGGCTGGGATGCCACTGAGGGGGGGAATGGGAGGGGTCCCGGTCGTGGTTTCCATTGGCTGCTCCTGCCGGAGCACCAGAGATGTTTTTGGCACCTTGCAAACCTCACAGAAGCAGAGCCTGTCCTTGGGGCCTGGGCCGAGACAGCTCTGAAGTGACCTTTCCAAGATCCGCACCCAAGGAGTTGCTGTCGGAATGCCCGGTCTCAGAGTCAGGATTCCAGAGACCAAGGGCAAGTTTCAATGGACTCTTGGCACTTTCTGCAAAGGAGGTGGGGACTCTCGTCCCAGAGGCTGCAGCCTGCGGAAGGGAGGAAGAGGGGCTCAAGTGGGACTTTGACTCAGAAGTCAAGCAGGGAGGGACCAAAAAGGCAGGAAGACCCCCACCGGGGTGATGCTTGCACAGGCAGGTGGGATATTCTGGTGGTAACCAGAGTACCCCTTGCCTTGACACTTTGTCTCCAGCTGACACTCACTGTCAATCAAAGCGTGGACCCCTCAGCCTGAGGACCTGGAGCCCTTTCAAGACGTTGAGGAAGAGAGGCAGAGTCAGCCGACCTCTGTGGAGGGCAGAGTGTGCAGCGTGGGCAGAGCACCCAGCTGGGCGTACTCCTCTAGACAGACAAAGGCACGCCCCATGTAGGGGAGAAAAATGGGTTCCCACAAATGGGGACACCAATGGCATCAGAGCTCTACGGGGTCATCGGAGCACAGTGTCTTTGGAGATGTCTCGATACTGTCATCTATATAAACGATCTTCAACTCTCTGTTACCGACCGCAGAACTGACTTTGGGCATTGTTCAGAATTTCCCTAATGGCGGTCATCCCCAGACCTGGGACACAACCCGTGCACCCTCCCAGAGCTCCCCTTTCAGGAGGCTTGGGCAGGAATATCCTCGTGTACTTAGACCGCTGGCCAGGGAAGGAACGTTAATGAGAGGAGCGTAACTGAGGCCGAGGAAACAATGTAAATAAGCTGGTTTCCAGGGGAGAAAAGTGCCATTGGCACCTGTCCAGGCTCCTAGTGGCTGGGCGCACACGCAGGGCTCCCCTTCCACACTGGCTGACCCTGCTTCACAGGGGTGGGCTCTGCAGGATCGACCCAGGAGGAGCAACATGCATGAGGACGCAACAAGGATGTATCTATCAGATTAACCAGATGTCACCTGGGAGAGGAGAGGGCCACAGGCCAGGGTGATTTTGATGGGATTCCTGGGTTATAAAGTGGGTATGTGAAATACCTGTGACATCCTTGTCCTTGTTACCCTAATTCCTCTCGCTGCCCTTTTCACTTCCATTTATTTCAGTCACATGTATTTGCTGAACACTTATTTTAAGGCAGGCACCTGAGCTCATCACTGGCCAACCAGCTTTGGGCAAACCTATCCAGCATCTCCAAGCCAAGTCTTGAAGGACAAGGGTTTCCAGAGCTCAGTTAGAATGGAAGGCATTATCCAAAGGCCCAGAGGAGTGAGGACCTTTTGAGGAACTGCAGGTAGTTCAGTAATATCAGAGTGTAAGAGATGTGGAGAGCTGAGGTAGGCACGATGTGGGTCATGGGAAAGAGTTTGGCCCTCATCTTTGTGAGGCAGCATGTGTGATGACTATAAGCACAGACCCCAGGCCAGGCTCCTGGGTTCAATCCCAGCTCTAGACTTAAGCAGCTTCACAGCCTTGGGCGACTCATTTTACCTCCCTGTGCCCAATTCCTTTATCCATCGCTTGGATTGATGCGAGAATTAGAATTAATGCACCCAGAGTCCTTCAAATGGTGCCTGTAAGGCACAGAGCACTGTGTATGTGTTTGCTATCATGACAGAGTAATGAATCATTACATGTTTTTGAGCAAGGAAGTAATATGAGGTTTCTTTTACAAACACCATCCTCTGAGTGATACAGAGGGTGAGAGGGATTAGGCTCAAGTGGTAAGACTCGCAGACGGCTGTTGCCATGGTTCAGGTGAGAGATCATGTTGGTAAAAGGCAGGAGGAACAGGAATAGAGAGGAAAGAGCTTTTAAAAACATTGAAGAAATAGGCCCTGGTTGGTATGGCTCAGTGGATTGAGCGCCAGCCTGCAAACCAAAAGTTTGCCGATTTGACTCCCTGTCAGGGCACATGCCTGGGTTGTGGGCCAAGCCCCAGGTTAGGGACGCGCGAGAAGCAACTGATTGATGTTTCTCTCTCACATGGATGTTTCTCTCCCTCTCTTTCTCCCTCCCTTCCTCTCTCTCTAAAAATTATTAAATAAAATCTTTTAAAAAAGAGATTGAAGAAATAGAATCAATAGGACTTGATGATGATTAGCCAGGGTCGGTGAGGGGTGGGAGGCGTGCATTTCAGATGGCTCCTGAGTTCCCAGTTTGGTAACTGGGTGAGATCATTTGGTGAGGTGGAGAAAACGAAAGAAAGAGGAAGCTCAAAGGGCATGTCATTGGAAAAATCAAGCACACAATACTTGTAGGATTCAAACCAGGTCTTTTGAGGTCAAATCCAGTGCTCTTTCCATTTTCTCATTTTGTGAATGTATCCAGGGAGTCCAACCTTTTGGCATCTCTGGGCCACACTGGAAGTAGAAGAGTTGTCTTGGGCCACACATTAAATACACAAACACTGACGAAAACTGGTGAGAAAAAAAAAAGTTTAAGTAAATTTATGATTTTATATTGGGTCTTATTCATAGCCATCCTGGGCCACGGGTTTGACACCAAACCATCACCAGTCAATCTGAGAGCACTTTCATCACCACCCAAAGAAACTCTGTAGCCATTGGAAGTCACTCCCCATGTTCCCCAAGCCCCAAAGCCCTGGACAACCAGTGGTCTGCTTTCTGTCTCTATGGATTTGCCTCTTCTAGACACTCCATCTAAATGGAATCATACTATATGTGGCCTGCTGAGGCTGGCTTCTTTCACTTCAAACATTGCATTCAGAGTTGCTCCAGGTTGTAGCATGTATCAGTGCTTCATGCCTTCTTATTGCTGGATAATAGTCTATTGTAGAAATAGACCATATTTATCCACTCATCAGTTAATGAAAATTTGGGTTGTTTTTCCTTTTGGTTGTTACAAATAATGCTGTTATGAACATTCTTGTGTAAGTTTTTGAGTAGACATATGTTCCCATTTCTCTTGGGTAGATATCTAAGAGTGGAACTCTTGCATCTGTGGCTTGACTTTCTTGAGGAACTCTCACATTGCATTTTAAATGTTCATTTACTCATCTAGCTCCTTCAGCGCTGTGAAGTCTCTTTTAAGAAAAGTTTCCACCTTGTTCATACCTAAAATGGTATCTGGCACAGAATAGATGCTTCATAAATGATTATTGACTTAATCAATGAAAATACTCTTAGTTGAGTGCATTAAAAGGAAGCATTTATGAGCTCATTTCAAGAGACTATTCATAAGAAGGTACCTGTATAGGGACCTGAGATGTCCACGTTTATTTATCACTGGCTTAAGAGTTCTTCTCAAGTAGCAGGAGTGAATTTTGTAGTTCATTTGTGAATTGCCATTGAGGGCGAGCAAGACAGCCTTAATGTTCTCTTCACCTTGACTAAACTTTAGACAGGTTTTTTCCTAACTGTAGGCTCCTGACGCTTCTTTACTTAGAGCCTTTACTTTAGAAAACTTGCAATGATAAATCCTTACTCTGCCCCTTTGCAATATATACAAAGCTTCGCCCCATCTCTTGCTAGTTTTATAACCTAGAATATTTCTTTCGCAAGGACCTGGGAACCATCTTTTTGAAATGAAAATATTGAAGGAGATAACACCGTACCTCCTAGTCTCTGTAGGAGGGGACATGCCCAACTTCAGTGGGTTTCTTACTGCAACTGTGAAGGCCAATTAGCAAACACAGGTGACCTACTAGTCCCCACACCCCAGCTCTTAAAACCTCTCCACCCCTTTGTGAAGTCGAGTTGTCTCTCTACTCTATTGAAATAGTCTAGAACAAAGTCCTCCTTGTCTGTTTAACTTTGTCAGTGCAATTAATGGTGCAATTTTAACTACTACATCAAAGACATTGACTCAACATATCACCTGATCCGTCAGGGACTGTGGGTGCAACTCAGGTGAGTGGAAATGCAGGTAAGCGGTGAGAGTGTCTCCATGCAAATGAGATCACTAGGTGCCATAGCCCAACAGGAAGCGTTATCTCAAAATGGATATAGAAAAGTCCATTGTCTGTACCTAATGCTAAGAATATGTTGTGTTCTTTTATTTCACTTCATTTTCAATGGACTAATTATGTTCCTGAGCCTCTCCTCCCACCCCTGCCCATTTGCTAGAGTTAAGGATGGTACCAAAAATGAGACTCATGACCCTTGAAACCAGAGGGTCCCCAGAACTCAGCTTCCTTAGGAGCTCCCATGAAAGATATAGATGAACACCTTTCTTGCCACTTCCTCAAGCCTCAGCAGTGATGTGAAGGAAATAACTTAGTTGTGAATATGAAGGCCTATTTGTTGGACAAGAGAGTGACAGTTTGCAAAAAAAGTTTTAATTCATTTGAAGTCCCTCTAGAGCTGACTATGTTGACACAGATGGGTGTGGAAAATGAGGGATTCATGAGTCATGACAACATTTCTAAAACCTTTCTGGTTCCTTATTTTCCTATGAAAAACATTCATTTCTCTAAGACCTAGCCAGAGAGTCATGGAGCTTCTTTATAGCTTTTTTTCATTGTGTGCCATGAAAATATTATCAGTCCCTATGAAAACTGACTAGAAGTCTCCCAGTGAAGTTAAGTCTGACAAGAGATGTATCCATTCAAAGAAAATCAGCATTGCTAGCCTCATGTTCTGTTCCCAGCATGACCAACAACTTCCTTGAGTCCACTGAGAAAGATATAAACCCTTATCTGTGTGTTGCTTTTCCCATATCTCATACAAGGAAGTCAAGAAACATTTGTCCTCCACCATCACCACTAGGATATATGATATGTAAGCTAAAAAAAGAGCTTCG